GGAGTGTGTGTGCCTTGTCGATCACATGCCTTGGTGATGAGATTGACCCGTTTGGGATTGCTGACATAGGAGGTGTGTGTTGATGTGACATGAGGTGTAACGTGCAAACATATGCACTGCTGCTGTAATCCATCATTATGAGCAACATGCCGCCGTGCTGTATCCACTCCTCTCTTTATGTGTTTCTATCTGCTAGCATGTCTCACTGCTGCTCAATGTGTTCCAGTTGTAAAAAATGTTTTGGTCCCGAGTGATACAGATCAATTTCAAGCGATAATTTCACAAAAAAATCAAAAGTAGCATATATTTCACCCACAGTGAGAGTTGCAAAGTGGTAGCATCAACTATTTACAGAAGCATTTTTCCTGGCTGTAAATCACCATTTTCAAAAGTTTTCTTTTAAATAGGATAAAACCATTAACCAGATGATATCATACCACATAACAATACTTTTTTTTCTAAACAGTTATGTATAAAATGTTTGAATACATTTCTCGGACAGAAATCTGAACTGTGGAAACACTTTTTGTTTCACTTTGTTGACAATTTACAGTGCAGTTTCTACAGAGGGATGAACATCTCTCATTAATAAATACATTTTTGCCAGTAATAACAATTAATATATAAATCAGGATGGGAATTATATGTGCAAACCCCTCTGTTTAAACCCTCAGAATATCAGAAAGATTGAAACTAGAATGTTTGGTGTATGTATGTTTTACTAAAGATACGATTTCTGGTTTAGAAAATAAGTACTAATCTTTTTTTTTTTTTAAATATCTATGACATAGACATTAAAATAATAATAACATGTATAGAATTGTTGTTGACTGTTTTTCCTCATTGCTGTTTTGCATCCAGCTCCTGCAACATTGCCTTCATCTGGCTTCCTTCTGGTTCTTCGAGTTTCAGCTATTCACAGATCCAGCAACTCCATTTTATAATAAGAAAAATTAAGAACTTCCTTTTTGTTATACTTATTTTGTTGAATTTGAGATAAATCAGCAAATAGACAAAGTTCTTGAATGTAAAACCTAAATTTGTGTTTGGAAAGGTTTTTTTTCCCCTAAGAAGACATCATTTATCATAGAAGCTAAGTAGCCCATTATCTCAATCTTGTGCCTATAACTATTGTTTGACTATTCCCAATGATACACTCAATGTTCATCTTCATGTTCAAATTCCTACAGTAGGTTCATGGTGTGGCCATCAGTTTAAATGATTTTAACTTTTTTTTAAACTGCATGATGTAGAATATCTCAGTCTGCAGGAAATATTTAGAGCACCAGTACAGCAACAGCAATATGTTTCATTTTCTTCTCAACTTTTGGAAAGGAATATTTTTAACTTGTTTAAAAACTATGCACGCTTCATACTAAATGTAATTCACCTTTGTTATATTTATTTGAAAGCAGAGATCTTTGTGGACATAATAGGAAGTTTTGACATTTTTTGGGAACTGAGAACTTAAAAAATCTAGTACAAATATGACTTTGACCTTTAACGGCCTGGTGACTTTAGGTATTGATGATCAGGATTGCAGTATTGTATTGGATTTAGCATTTGTTTTTTCATTTCGACTTGGTTGACATTATTCATGCCACCCAGAACCAATAATATTTAGGTAGGGATGGACCACTTTGGGATTTATTGAGAATCACAAAAAACACAAGTTGGTTAGTTTCTATTTTTAGGACAGTCGTGAATAACTTCACAAGAGTGACTTAAACAAGCTGTTTTCCTCGCTATCGAGAAAGAAATAGAGCCTGAGATACAGCACATAAACAAGGATTATCAGATAAATTGCGATTTATATAAAGTTATTTATCCTTTATTAATGAAGGGGAACCTTACAATTCCTGAGTACCATTTTGAGGTTATTTAATTATGTGTTTGATTTGAACCAAAAATATATTCTATGTGATGCAATCAAAAGGTTTCTTATAAAGTAAAGTTATTCCAGTATGTTTTCACACCAGTTTAAAACTTTGAAGCGTAATTTCAAACGCAAATATTTAGGCCATATCCATGATTTATAAATATTTTCATGAAAATGTCGATTTCTGTCTCTGCGGCGGTTGAACATAATCTTAAATGTCTTAAAGTTCAACATAATCAATGGCAATAGCTACATGATGATGATGAACATTTTGAATGCAGGCCTTTTTCTTGTAACAGAGTATTCGTACACTCTGGTACTTCTACTTTTACTTAAGTACATGATCTGAGTACTTCTCCCCCCTCTGGTCCATGCCTTATTTAACAATAACATTTAAACAGTATAATTCATTTCAAAGTAAGAGCATCAAGGTTCATTTAAATTGTCTTCACAGTTTTTCTCGATTGCTAACACACGTTTTTTTTTTAATTGCTCAGTTTCTCAGAACACTAAACACAATTCACAAAACTACACACCCAAAGTGCAAAACACCTCATTTCTCCTGCTAATCTAAGAACTGCACATCAAAAACTACATAACCACTTACCCAAATGCAACTTTTGCACCATATAACAACACTTCATTCAATAAACTAGATTGTTTTGCCACCCAACTACACACTGCTGAGCATGAATCTAAGCACTTTCATCCTTGTTAGGCATGCTCTGTACATAGAGGTTTCTGCAGAGTAAGATTGCTTGAGTATACAGAAATACAGTAAATGAAGAAATACAAATTAGTTGTTGAAAGAAAATCACATTTTATTCAAAAATAACACTGTGATGCATCTCAGCACATAGTTACTCTGCTTCGGATCTCTCTGAGTGTGATGCATTGTTTGCCAAAACCCAGTTTGTAGCTGCTGCTTCCTGTGCCTCATTGAAATCCTTAGCCTTCCACCTGCACCTCTTTGTTTCTCTGTCCTTCAGATAAACAACAAAGATATAGTGGTAAGTTTACCACAGTCTAATGTGCAGGATTTGTGTACAGTTATAGTATGCAACATGCCAACAATTCAATTACAGTAATGAAGTAAATACGTTTTACACAACAGATATAAGCTCTGATATATCATGAATTATGCAGAGCTAAGAACTGGTAACTAACCTGTTTTCAAGTCTAAGTGTCCGGATTACAGAGGCAACAGTAAATCAGTTTAGATTAGGCTGAACCCTCTGAACGTCCTCTCCCTCCAGCTCTACCTCTACCTCTCATTCCTCCTCATCTCACTCTCAGCCCAGCCCTTCCTCTTGCTCTTGCTCTTGCTTCCATGTTGGCTTCCATTGTTGCTGTAAAAAAGTACTCACCTGTGGTCTTTTTATAGTGCTAACATCTTGATTGATGAGCCGACAATTATGCTATCAGGTGTTTGGTCAGGTGGAACGTGTTTCTTGATCATTGGTCCATGTGTGAGGCATTTTGAATATAAGTGTTTTAAACCTGCTAAAACGTGACTTTATGTCAGATTCCTGTGTCTTACGTGGAGAAACGTGTGCAGTGGTTTGCAGAAAGTGTCATGTTGATTTGTAAATTGTGTGAAAAGCTGAAAACGTGTTTAGAGTTTTGGAGATTTGAGCCGATGTTTTGCTCTTTGAGTGTCAGTTAAAATAATTGTGCTTTATGTATAATTTTAGTGTGTTAGCAATCGAGAAAGACTGTAAGAAGAGGCCAAATGATAGAATACAGTATTTCTAACTAACCAACTGATATCCGTGTAGTTAACATGGTGACCACTGGATGGCGCTGTTGAGCTATTTTACACATCTCGTTTCTGCTCTCCGGTGGTATTGTTTATTTTCTCTTTGCTATTTTTCTTCAAAATCATTTATATTAGCGAGAATGATTGTTTTTGGTCCAGACATCGTCAAGTGTTTATTTGACATTATTATATAACAGGTCTCTGTCTTATTTGACGTCAAATATTATACATTTAAAGGTCAAATACGGCTGGTAGGTTATTGATATTTATATATTTGATCACACCTCTATTTTTACATTACATGTCACTTGTTAGACGCTTTTATCCAAAGCGACTTACATACTCAATACTGTGGACAATCCCCACAGGAGCAATTTGGGGTGAAATGTCTTGCCCAGGGACACAACGACATGCAGACTGCAGTGGGGTTTGAACCTGTGACCCCCTGATCCGAACACGTGAAAAAAGCATTTGTTATTTTTTGGAAAATGAAACTGTATGTATATATTTATTTATTTTTAAATCCTGGCCTCTGTGTGCATCTTCCGGTCTGCAATGCTATTTCTGCAAGGGTAATCGATTGCAATATAATGCTAAAGCCATCAATACATCCCAACTACAGAATGTTTTTATTGTGTAAAGTAAACTGGCTTGTAATGCACTCTGTTCAAAAGACAAACATTTCCCGTTTATTTTTCTTCTTTGTCATATAGAAACTGCACACCGTGGCGATATACTTAAACCTCTTTCGTCATATAAAATGTTTTAATGTGAAATCTTTTCATTTTTGTACTTTCCCCTATTCGAGACCTCGGCTCTCAGGGGAACACATCATAGGGATTCATGGATCCACGTGTATTGAAGGCATATGTAATAATAATAATAATATGAATAATAATGATAATAATATGAATAATAATATGAATAATATGAATAATATGAAGAATAATATGAATAATAATATGAAGCAGTTAAGGAAACATAATGTAGTATTATAATTATTATGGCGATAAATTGATAAAATGGTCCAGCTATTGTTTTGTAGTTTAAATAGAGATGTACATAAACATTAACCATATTTAGCATTAATTCAGGTAGCACTAGTTTTCATTATTTTTATTTGGACTGTGCAAACAGAGTTGTATATGCCTAATATTGAAGGTTGGCAATAATGAAATGCAATATATTTCAACATTTAAAAAATTACTTTAAATTAGGTGAAATTTGGGCTTTGTGCATATTTTAGATATATATAACACTGTTATGTCACTTTTGCTTTAAAAATGCAAAATGAGAAACTAGAGTTGTCAATAGTCAAGAGATCATATTCATCAGTTGCAGTTTAAAATAAACAATCCAAGGTCATAGTTGAAAATAAAGCTATTTTATTGTCAATGCATTCAACGTGATTAGATAAACTATCAAGTAGTAAATTCCCGTAAAAGGAAGAAACACTGAAACTATTCCCCACTGACACAAAATATTACACTTTGTATTTCAAATAAAACCAGTTATTTACATGTTCATGTATAGACTGCATCTTAAATCAATATTATTTAATATTACATGCACTCTGAAATATAGTCTGACATAATATCCCAATTTGTGTCCACATTCTTCGTAGACATGAAAAAACGTGCTGCTCTGTAAACCATGACATGTGACTACGTTTGTGTTTCGTCTCTTCTTCTATATTTGCATTATATGATATAAAATACAACTTACTGTACATTTACACATATTTAAATCTTCCCTTATTCCCAAACGTTCAAGTGCTTCATAAATAGATCACTTTTCGAAGTCAAATGCATTTGCATACACCCAAAACATGACATTTTGTACATGGGAGGAAAAGTAAACAGACCGAACAGGAATTAGAAGATCATAGTCCAAAGTGAAAACGAGTGCAAGGGGTGTTTTTGTTTTTTTATCAGGATTTTCTCCAGTCGGAGTGCTTAAATCCAGGCAGGGTCACAGTCCCTCCTTGTTAGAAAAAAGTCCCTCCCTTTCTAGTCTTTAAAAGTCAGTTATGGGAGGTCATGTGACGTGACAGGTGATGCCGTTCCCGGAAGGACTCATTACAAATGGGGCACTTGAGTTTCTCCTCGCGTCGACGCTTGACCATAGGCTCCATGGCGAATTCCTTTTTGTGGTGGGATCGCATGTGGTAAACCAAGTCCGAGGTCATACGGAAGGACGCATTGCACTTGGCGCACCAGTTCTGCGCCGGCAGGCAGAGGGAGGTGAAGGAAGGCGGCAGGAGGGTGAGAGCCGAGGGCATCTGGAGCTGAATAGCCCCGGAGTTCTTGGGCCAGAAGGTGGTGGCGTAGACAAAGGGGTTCTGCTTGGCCATGCTTGGCACGGGGCAGTTGGCGCCCAGTTCTGCGCTCCGTAACTTGGCGGCAAGGTGGTCTGCCTGGTAGAGTCTGCTGGAGGAGATGGTGTCGCCCACCGCTGGGTGGCAGTCCAGCAGTTTAGTCGGCATAACCAGCGGCGAGATCTGGGAGAAGCGAGACGGTTGGCTGAAGGCGCTCTTCCTCTCGCCACCACTTCCTCCTTGCTGGGTAACAGAGGTAAAAGCGCTGCCCATGTGTGAGGTTTGGGGCGGCTGGGTCTCGGACAGCACCTGCCTGATGTTGAGGTGCTTCTCTGATGGATTGCTGCTAGGACGACTACCATCTTTGTTTTCAGAGTTGGAGCTCTGGAGGTTTTTGTTGCCGCTGTGGTGTTTGAGGTTCTGTGGAGATTTCTTGACCTCAGTGAAGGCGCTGCGCTTGCCCTGACCGAGTTCAGTGGAACCAGGCGGGGAGTAGGACTTGCGGTTCTCCTCCAGGCCGTACGCCCCTCTGTAGTTTTGTGCAGATGTGGCAAGCTCATCTTTAGACTTGGACTGTAAAAGGCTGGGCCCTCGGCTCTCCCTGTCATCTATTTCCGAGAACTTCCTCTTCCCCGAGCTCTCGCTGCAGATCTCGGCCTCCTTGTCGCTCGGAGGGCTGGTCCGGTTGTTCTCCAGATCCCTGGCCAGGTTATGAAAGTCTGTGGAGGGTTTGCTGCTGTCCTGGGGGCTGCTGAAGCCCTCGGAACGGCCCAGCTTTGGGCTGGTCCTGGTCGGAGATGTGTTTGGTCGCTCCGTGCTCTCTTTGCTTGGCTCCTCTTCTGCCCCCGTGATGCTCTGCAATCTTTTGGTGCAACGGAACCGGAGATGGGCCAAGAACGGGAACTCAAACTGGAATCTCTGGCTGCAGTCCGGGCATGAATAGTGCGAGGAACCTGCAAAGAAAAGATTTGGAAATGAGTTCTGACGAAAAGCGATCATCCTGAAGCTATCTTGCAAAGGTGTTTTGTGTTGTTAGATTGCACAAAAGAAAGACGATAGAGAACCAAAGATTTCATTGCGTTGGTTGAAACAGTGATCATGGATGTTGATGATAGGGTATCAGTTTTCTCACCTTTGCTCTTGGCAGGGACACTGCTGGGGCTGAGCAGCAGCAGGTCGATGAGGTCTTTTCCGTACCAGACCAGCAGCTCCTCGTCCTTCTCAATCCGGCGGAGCGAGCGGTACAGGAGCTGGCCGTTCTTCACGTAGGCCTCCAGGTTCTGCTCCTCTTTGTCCCTGGCCGACTGGACCAGCCGAAGCCACATCAAGCCCTCCGAGGTGCTGTTGGCCGCCGATGTGTCCACCTTTACAACAAATACAAACACGTTGAGTTATTACTTCAGCTCAAATTAATTATCTGGCAAATATTTTATCCCTAAAAATCTTATATCAACTTGTATCTTTGTTTATTTAAATAAATATAATAATTTAAACCGCTGTAGTAGTGTGACAGATTTAATTATTATTGACAATTATTTAAATGAATGGCTTTTCATTAAATAAAATTATCTCCAATGCTTTGGCAGATTATGTCCTTATGTATTAAGAAAAAAGGGAACAGTTCCCTGACTCAATCTTATTTTAAGTGAGACTGTAAAGATCTACCAACATGGCTTTTGAGCATTGCTGCTCAGGCATGGGGATTTTCCTCAAAATGTCAGCTTATTGCTTCATATGATATGTGTAATATAACATTTGTAATAAATATTGGCTTAATTTGGAGCTGCAAAGCAAGATATGCAATAAAGACATTTTGACAGGCCTGATTAATTAATAACTGGTAAAGAAAATAGGGAGCTTATTGATAAAAATAGACATACTAGGGCTTGCATTAAATTGCAATTAGTATCCACAAAACAGCAATAAAGATTCACTCACCCTGAAGATATAAGGTGCTGTGCGTTTGTCGGTGGATTTCAGAGCTATAAAGGCGATGCTGTCATACAACGACGTGTGACTCAACACACAAGGCCCGAAAATGGCGTTTTCTGGGATGTCACATGTGGTGAAGACGCTGGTAAAAATGTCGGTCAGACACTGCTGGACCGCTTTGGCGTCCCCGTCCCACACCAACTTCTGAGAGCTGGACTCCTCCATTTCACACTGCGGAGACAAGAGGCAGCAGAGGTCAGACATCAGGTAGGAAATAAATACTACGAGCAGTCGGTAAAAATGTTTCATGAGAATAAAACATTTAGACTTTTTTTTCTTCGATTTGTATTTTAACCTAAACCTGTGTAAACTAAGAGTTTAGTGGGTTAACTTCCGCTGTCCCTGCTGATAGGGAATAAATCTCTTCCTGGACAGATTGGCTAAACCAGCTGTCAGGGCGTCGTTTGGGGGACTGTTCCTTTTTTTTTTTTGGCCAGGCTTTCTAATTAATTCAAACCCCGTAAAACGGTCATGATGGCATCATGTCCAGCATCCTGATTATGTGGTTCCCCAATGTTGTCAATTATAAAAGAAAAAATGTGCCTCGCCTAAAAAGGATAATTTCAAATCACATGTGAGCAGTTTAATTATTATTATTATTATTACTGTTACGATAATTAGTCTTATAATAATAATAATAATAATTACAATTAGTAGGTTAACAGTTGTCTTTGGTTATACCATATAGCCTACTTGAAACAAATGTTAAAAACTATAACCTTTTAGGGAAACTGTTGTCAACCACAGTATTTGCATCATATGTCTTCATTCATATAATATAAAATGAAATTATAAGCATTAGTATTTTCATTATTTTTATATAATTAGAAGGCCTCTACCGGCTCCAATCAAGCTTCACTTAGCTGTATTATTATGATGGCGACATTAAAAACGCAAAAGTCCTATACTATTCTTAAATAAATCGTGAAGTCTCAGGAGTGATTTACAATTCCTTATTTGTGATGTTTTCATTATCATGTATTCTTTATTATTCCTCTAATAGTAAGTCTGTAGCTTTGCCAGGACATGTTTATTTTTTCAAAAAATCCTAACAAGCAACAGAATCCCAAAAGGATAGTTTTTTCTTGTTTAAAAAATAATTACTGTAAAGAACCCTCTCAGTGGGAGCTGCTGAGGTCCGTGCATGTCCAATGGAGAGAGCATGTCCAATGGGTTTCAAGTGGACTGTCAAAGTCAGTGATTTCATGTCAGCCAACCTTTCTCTGCTTTCTACAAGCGGCAGCGTATGCCGCCTCATTACCATAATCCAGCACGTTCCCCTCTGAGACTGTAATTAAAGCAGCACGACCAGTTAATTATTTCTTTTCTCCCGTCCTAACCTTTGAATGTGTGTTTAGACGGCTACGGCTCTCCTCGCTCTGCGGTTAGATACAGAACACACTGTGTGCGCAGACCTGCACCTGATACGCGCGTAAATTACCCTCAGTTAAAAAAAATTACATTTACAAAATAATACCGTCAAAAAAGCTTTGCTGTAATCGCGAAAAAACAAACTATGTCCTAAGCAGGAAATTGTTGAAATAATTATATTTCTATTTCTACTGTAGGGGAAATTATTGCGGCACAACCTTTTTTTTTAAATTATTATTATTATTATTATTATTATTATTATTATTATTATTATTATATACGAATTAATAACTATTTACTGTTGCTTTTGAGGCCTATGGTGCCAGTTTTATTTATCATTTTTATTAGCCTAGTATTACTATTGTAATGTTTAATTCTACTATTATCAATTTATAACACGTTATCAATCACTGCCCGCACTCAAACAACTTCCAGTGTGACACATCTCGTGCAATATAAAGCAACTTTCTTTCATTAGGGAAAGAAATAAGAAAGAATAAATAATAAATACAATAAAAACAATTGGACCAAAAGTTTACTCTGCGCAAAATCAAGATGCAACCTGACATTGGCACATAGAGAATCAATGTAATAATACATAGCCTGATAACAATAATAACAATGTTGGCCAGTGTGGAATAATGAGCTGTCTCCTGTCCATCCCAAAAATCCACTGTTTTTTGATTGCATGCGCAGAAAGAAAATCTAGCTAGTTTCTGCTTCTTCCTCTGGTTTTTATTTACTTTTATTTGCATGGATCTGATTAAATAGCCCTGAATTTTTCCTAAAAAAGCGCTTTTTAATACCGCTCATTAGGAGCATTATATACCGTAAGAGGCTCAGCAACAGAAGGGTTCTCTGTAGAAAATGTCCCGCAAGTGCAAGGGACAGCCTTTCCAAAGTGCGCTGCCAGCTAAACGATTTAGTTTCAGGTTCCACACTGACCACACAGAACCCCTATGTTCAGATGCAAAGAAACAGTCGCTTCAGAAGGAAGAAGACAACATTTACGAATGATGTGTTAAGGTAAAAGACATAAAGAGCATTTCCACATCCAGAAAGTGGAGGAAAGCAGCC